TCCTTTTAAGAGGTTAGCCTTAGCTTAATAAATTATTACCTTAATTGGGCCCAATTTTTTCACATGTACAATACATGAGGTACAGCATGTCTCCCAATTTGAAAAGTCGATAATATTTATTTACCTTAAAGACATGTCACAGATGCTTCTTATAAATGTTATTTGTCATTGCAAGTGAGATTATTTTCCTTGTTGGTACTTACAAGAAAGGTTTCAAAAACTTTCTTAGCTTAATCACATTCCACTACATTATACAATTACTATTAAAATTCACGTTTGCTATAGTGCAGAGAAAAGGGAAATTTTTATGTTTTCAAGTTCATGCATTTATATCAATAAAGAGTTAATAATACCTGTGACCACATTTAGGATTTTTGCAATCAAAATTGCCCCAGTGTTTCCATTATGGAAAAATTAACCTGTGGATATATTAACATATAAATACAAAGTTATTCAATGCACTAATGGGTGTTACAGCCTAAAATTGTAAACAAATTAGCTCTGTGTTAAAATGTAATGATTTAAAAAGGATCTAATGGAGTAGATCTATTAAGAAAGCATGTTCCAATGTAGAAAAACCTCATGACAAATCAGTAAATGAGAAATGTGAGGTGAAAAGTAAAATCTGCATTGCAATCCTATTTATTTAAATACAAATTATTTGAAAAGATTTTACACACATATGACATATACATGCCTACATGCTGACATCTATTCATACTATTTTATTGAACACCTACATAATTGGTAGTGCTTCCTCAAGCTGACACAGGTTGCATTTGGGGTAGAGAATGGAACCAGATAATTTCCTGAATGTTTGCTAAGGTATTTCAATAAAATTGGTATGGCTCTGCACCTGTGGCTTAAGCAGCTAAGGCGCCAGCTACATACACCTGAGCTGGTGGGTTTGAATCCAGCCTGGGCCTGCCAAACAATGACGGCTGCAACCAAAAAATAGCCAGGCATTGTGGCGGGTGCCTGTAGTCCCAGCTACTTGGGAGGCTGAGGCAGGAGAATCGCTTGAGCCCATGAGTTGGAGGTTGCTGTGAGCTGTGATGCCACCGCACTCTACCCAGGGAAACTGCTTGAGGCGCTGCCTCAAATAAATAAATAAATAAATAAAATTGGTGCCTTATTTATCATTGGATGATAGTGCAACATATGTAACAGTATGGGAGAAAGAGAGAAAAAGAAATTGAATTATGGGTCAATTTATAAATACAAAAATTTCAAACTTTGTTTTATTTAAATTATTTTTTTTTTTTTTGAGACAGAGCCTCAAGCTGTCCCCCTGGGTAGAGTGCCGTGGCATTACAGCTCACAGCAACCTCCAATTCCTGGGCTCAAGCGAGTCTCTTGCCTTCGCCTCCCAAGTAGCTGGGACCACAGGTGCCCGCCACAATGCCCGGCTATTTTTTGGTTGCAGCCGTCATTGTTGTTTGGTGGGTCCAGGCTGGGGATTCGAACCCGCCACCTTAGGTGTACATGGCTGGCGCCTTAGCCGGTTGAGCTATAGGAGCCGAGCCTATTTAAATTTTTTAAAGAAAATCTAACTCAAAGTGGGAGAGTACTAAAAATAGTATACCATCCCAAGTACAGATTATAACAGGTACACAAGGATAATGACAAAGGATATTAATCTAATCGATCACATTCATGATGTAAAAGAAAGAATAACATAATTATCTCAGTTGATGCAGCAATAGTAATTGATAATGATTAGCTGCTATTTATGATATAAATAAAAACGTCATAAAAGTAGTAATCAATTTGTGGCAGCATAGAATTGAAAACAACCACGTTATGCATTTATAATGCTCTGCTCTGTAAAAGCCAAACACAAGAACCCAAACATATGAATAGAAAAATAGATAGGCATGTTAGAGACTTAAGTCAAAGGACTTCTTGCACATGTATGAAAGTAAAACACCACATGAACATCAGCAGTGTATGTTTTTCAAGGATATATACATAAATGTATATGTGTGCATAGAAATGTATATATATATACACACATTTATGTCGGGTAATTAGAAGGACATAAGGTAACTATAGTAAATAGGGTCCTGGGAACACCAGCTGAAAGAGGCAAAAAGTAAACCAAACAAAAAGGGAGCTTTATCTTGACCGAGGATGACATAACATCATGAAGTGACAAGTATGATCAAACAGTTCTCTGTACTATTCCAAAATAAATCAGGTTAAAAAAAAAAAAAAAGTAGTGTGCTCACTTCGGCAACACATATATTAAAATTGGAACGATACAGAGAAGATTAGCAGGGCCCCTGCGCAAGGATGACACACAAATTCATGAAGCGTTCCATATTTAAAAAAAAAAAAAAAGTAGCATATATGTTAAAACCAGCATAGTTCCTACAACATAACCTGTAAAAACTTTTTTTGGTTTTGGACTGGGTGCAGAGTCAACGGTCACCATAGAGAGATGGCACAGGGGCCCCACCCAGAGACCTGAATTGTTACTCTGCCATTAACCACTTTGCAACCTCGAGATAACCACTTAGCACGCTGTATCTTTGATTCCTTAATCTGCAAAATGGGACAACTGTATTTACTTCCCTTGGTTTTGTGCAGAATCAATGAGGTAATACATGATTGGGAAATTACATAATTCCCAGCATAAAGTAGGTGTTTTAAAAACATATTTGTACTCCCCACCCCAACCCACCACCACCACCCAGTCCCCTTATGGTTAATGTTCTTCCTGTTAGAAGGAATAAAGAAAGTCCAAAACTACCTCTGGAATTTTTTTCTCCCCTTAAAATTCACTGAATATTTGAGAAGATCTTTTATTCTTCAGGCCTCCCTCTTAAGTTGCAGAACCTATGATAAATCTACTAATGATGCCTGACAAGACCAATCGCAAAAGGGGAAAGACGTGCAGATCATATGCAAAGAGCTGCAGATTAATTTATTCAGCCCGCATATTCTGGTAAATAAGAAACTACTAGTTCTGTCATAAGAGGAGGCTGATAAATGTCCATATAATTTCACATTAGTCTTGCAGACATAGTGAGTATATTATCTTCCATATTTTTTATAATTAACAATGGGACTGCTATTTTCTTCCGTAATTGGTGCATTTATTGAGAGATTTCCCACTGTTTGACTGATGTACTTCATTGTCTATACTTTTTCCCTGCTGTGTCTCCACAGTGTGACATTCAAAATTTATAGTTTCGATTTTTCTGGCTGTTATTTTTGTATTGCTGCTTACTGTTTATTCATAGGGTAAGGAGAAGAAAGTTCTATGTTGAAATGAGCTTTCGGATGGATGATTCGCAATGGTGCCTTCAGAACACCTGCTTGGTTTTGGTACCATTCCTGGATTCCAACAAGACCATGTACTATTGCCCGGTGTCACCAATGGGTCTCGTTTATATAAAGTGTTGACTATATGTTGACTATACTAGTGGAGGGAGTGTTTTACCGGAAGGCAGTTCAAGAATTATAAGGCTTGGGTTATGTTCAAGTTCTAGGACAGTCTGTGTCGATAAAACAACCAGAATGTTGCATCGTACTGTTAGGACCCTAGTATGTATCATGGATTTATCACATGCAGGGTAGAACAGACCAAGATTTTCTTTTTAAATAACTTCCAAAACTCCATGAAAAGATTTGACTCTGTCAGACTATGACTGCTGCAGCGGTGACATGGTACCTAATGTGACTTAGAAAATAGAGGGGCTATTCCAACACTTGCCAGGAATTTACTTTCCTTTTCAATGCCTGATGGGAACGCATGCTGCTCAAGTTAGGAACTGCAGTGAGAATAATGATCATTCAAGAAGTCTCCGAATTAAGCTATCGATAGGTGATTTAAAAGCACACTACCTATTTCAAACTCGGTCTTTCATTCTGACAAGAAATATCTTTAAAGCACAGGGATGCTAATAATTTCGAAGTTTTTAAAAAAATCATCATTTTCCTCAAAAACCTGGCTGAGAAAGATATTGGATCTTGGTGTGGAACAGCAGGTCCTGGTACAGTGTTTTTCTCTGGTCGGTTGATCATCATTGCACCCGAGGGCAGGCAGGAAGCCTGGAGACGGAGATGACGGCTGCATTGCTTGCTTAGACCTGATGAGAGACCTGCTAGCTGTCCGGATGTCACTTTTCAGTATCACGTGGTGCTTCTGGACTGCCACCAATCTCTGTTGTGTTTGGTTGTTCTGTTTTTCTGCTCTCACCCCTGAGATTCCACCATATCCCTTAACTAGGAAGTTGTGAGCACAGGTGAAGGCAGCATAGTTGATGTCACTTGAGTGTCTTGCTTTATTTTTGTTTTTATTTTCCATTCTTCTAATTTTCTTTTAGAGCTTTTCCTTCACCTAACTACTGTAGGTAACTGGGTATGAATCAAGTATGAGAAAGTCACACTTGATCCTTAACCCAATACCATTAAAGATAGAACTTTATACACCCAGCCCAAGTCCTGCATTTTATGAATGAATAGTACAGAAGGGAAATGACTTCAATAGGCCACTATAGCTGCTTAGTGGAAGATCTATGTCCAGAATTTAGGCTTATTGCTAAAGAGTGCTTGCTAGAACTTTTGTTAGAATTCCTTTGCCTCTGCAGCAAACTTCCTTTGTCCTACCCCCAACTTATATAACCCCAGTAGAGCAGGTCCTAACAAGGAATTCTTCTCTAACTTGCTGGGCCATGACTTCAATTGTTTCACGGTGCACACGACAATGTAATTTATCCTATGATTGCACAGATCACATTTTGTCAATACTCCTTAATCCCCCCACAAAACGATCCCTGAAAAGATTGTAGCAGCTAACGGATCCATAGTTTCTGTAGTCTCCATTTGAAATATACCTGAAAATGTCACTCTCCCTGTGATAGACAAATGCCGGATACAGCGACACAGTTGTAATTGCTAATTATAACATCAATGTGATCCTTTTTTTCTCTCACCATTGTGCTGTTTCTCCCATGTGCTGATCTATCCATCCTGTTTGCTATTCTAGGTTTGTGTGCTGGAGAGACAAATATTTGATTTCCTTGGATATCAGTGGGCACCTATCCTGGCCAATTTTGTCCATATTATTATCGTCATTCTTGGTTTATTTGGAACTATTCAATATAGACCTCGTTACATAACAGGAGTAAGTACCCTTCCTGCGTTTTTGAAAAAATCTTATTGAAACAGAGAAAGATGTGTAAAGTACAAATGTCTTGAAAGATTGTATGTATGCCCGATCTTAAAGATAATGTACACCCTCTCTCAAGTACTATTTGTTTATTTTCACAGTTTCAGATTACATCAACAGGAATTGAAAATGTCAAGTTCAAAGCACTTGATAATGAATGTAATCAGATTGTTTTTTCACAAATTATACTTTCAGCAAATATTCTCTTATCATCTTAAGCAGAACTGTACTCCTATACTTTCTAAATGAGAAAGTCATGGCCTCTGACTTAATATTATTTTAATGGCAATATTTTTCTCATTTCAAGTAATTATATTTTATAAACTGAATACCAATAATTTCAAGTCAATACAAATAAACATATACTATTGATGTGAAAATATTGATACACATTAGGACTAATACTTCATATACTTGAAAGCTTGAATATTCTGGACCCTGGTCTCCGTGTTCCCCACAATTCTCTTTTTGGCTCGGAGGAAGCATTTTGCATTCCCACTCAAGTTCAACTTAACATAAAAGTGAAACCCAACTGTGTGGCAGTTGCTATGGGAACCATAACTTAGGGTTTTTTAATTTCATTTTATTTTTTTACTTTTCTACATGCCTCAGATCTCAGCTATCGCTCTTCATTAATGTAGACTTTTTTTTTAGTTTTATCATTTTTTCTATTCCTTCTATTTTTTTGACAAAGGAAAACTCTATGGGCATTTATTTAAAATTATAAAGCAAATTTGTGGTAAAAGCTCATCTATAAAATAGCACAGCAAAAGCTTTGCCTTGTTCAGCACAAACCAGCAGGCCTTCTTAGGTTTTATGAAAGCTTCCTTCTCATAAAAAGTGCCCTTGTGTGACCTGTTCTCCCTGTCATTTGGAACCCAGATAAAGCTCACTGGTACCATGACAGGCAGTGTGGTGGCAGGTGGAACCAAAGATTCCGCTGGGGGCTAAGGAGGAGTGAGGCCAGACCCTGTGCCAGTCACCCTGAGGCTAGGTAGCCATCCAGATCTTGTACAAAGTGGAATGTCTTGGGTTATGCTGCAGGATGTTTTTCAGAAAACAAGGTATGATAGTGTTGTCACTTTCCTCCTATGAAATGTAATTTGATTGAGTATCAGAAGGACCATACAGAGTTGGGAGTGGGTCCTCTGAAGTCACGATAGATACCAGGATTGGAATCTTGGATGTACCAAATTCTGTGTGACTTTGCCCATCTTCGCCTCACTGACCTTTAGTTTTCTTACTTTAAAATGAAAGTAATAATTCCACTAAGTCATAATGCTGAAGTTAATTGATGCATTGCCATTATATGAAAAATTTTTAATTTCCCTTCACTCTTCCATTAGACACTGAGCTCCCTTCATGATTTTCCTCTTATAAATAATGCGCATGGAGTCTCATCACAGACATACCTTATCTCCATTTCTGATGAAGTTCTTGGAATAAAAATCTAGATGTGAATCCAAGTGTTTTAGCCATGTAAAAACACAGAAGTTAGTTTTGAAAAGTAAATGGGGTATTTCATAACATACCCTTTAGCACAATGTTTGGTGTGTAGAAAGCACTCAATACAAATTAGCTATAATATTTTTTCCTATTATATTTGCATATAATACTAAACTGTATAGTATAGCAATAGGTAGAAAAGAAATTTAAAACACAGCAAAGTGTTCCAGACATTGGTGGAACTATTGCTGTTCCTTTTATTCCAAGATGCTACAGTGCTTAAGAATATTTTGTGGGATTTCTATGTGTCAAACTATAATCTCAACCCTTTGAAAAAAAGATACTCCTGCAAATCCTTTTGATACAAGGCATTTTGGGGGCATGGGATAAAAGTTAGGTTGGTAGGGGAACAATACTTGGGAGATTCTTAAAATGTTTACCTAGCTGAGACTGTTAGACAGACTTTGAAATCGTTCTGAGGTCTTAATAATGTATCATAGAGCTACACTTTTGATTAAACTTGACCTGTAGGCAGCACTCGGAGTTTGGTTTAATTCCTTGAGACATGATCTTTGAGAATCGTTCACCAGCTGGAAATGAGCTAAATGAAAAACGTGTTCTCTAGCTCAGCAAGTCCTTGGTTGTAAATGTATTCTCTAAATTCCACTTGAAAAATCTTCCTTTAGTGCATCTCTCTCTTAAGATATCATGCTGTCTGTGACCAAAAGATGACAAATAGCGTGTCAAATGCTTGCTTGGAAATCCCTTTGGCCAGACTCACAAGTTCACAGTTGTATTTGCTGCTGTCCCAGTTACTGCAGACAATGGCCAATCTAATTGTTCTGGCAGTAATTACCGTGGCCTTCTTTTCTCCAGGCCTCAAAAACAATTTCCTTGCAGCAATTCCTCTCTCCACTCAGCCTCCTTGTTGTCCTCCTGGCCTGACTTGCCACTTTATTTCAAAACCTATGCTGTGTGTTTTGGGTTTGGGTTATAGTATCACTCAGCTCTGGCACCACTTTGTGTTCTAGAGATCTATTTCTGTATAATTCCTGTGCAACGGACTACAGTTGACCTTGGAACAATGCAAAGATTAGGGTGCCAACTCGGGTGCAGTGGAAAATCCACACATTACTTTTGACTTCCCCCAAATATAACCACTAAGAGCCTCCTGTCGAACAGAAGCCTTATCAATAACATACATAGTTGATTAACAGATATTTTATATGCGATAAATATCATATAACGCATTACTAGAATATAGTCAGCTAGGGAGAAGAAAAAGTTCAGAAAATCCCAAGGAAAGGAAAAGATACTTACTATTGATTAAGTGGAAGTGGATTGCAGTGAAGGTCGTCACCCTTGTATTCAAGGTCAGCAGGCTGAGGGGGAGGGGAATGGAGGAGTTAGTCTTGCTGTCTCAGGAGTAGCAGAAGCAGAAAATATTCAGATATTAATGGATTAATGCAGTTCAAACCTATTTTCTTCAAGATTCAACTGTATTTCTGATTAATTAATTATACTATGGAATCTAAGGGTCATGGTGTCATGATCGTTAATGGCCAAATATAGAGTCAGGAAAATAGAGAGCTTGCCAAAAAAAAAAAAAAAAAATGGAATTAAGAGTTCTGTTTGCCTAAAAATGACAATAGGATTTATAATTAAAACTTAAATGGAATCATAGATGACAGATTCTGGTCAATGAAGAATTTGGGTTTCTAAGAAAAATGACTGATCCGGAGCAAGCTGAAACTGACATTAATATATTACTGTAGTCAAGAAATTTCCACAGGTTGCCTATGGCCTGGAAACTTAATTGTTAACAAAGAAATTCATTTTTCTTTTCTTCCCAAATGTAGGCCTTTGTGATTGTGATATTTCCATTTATACTTTTATATTATAAAACAATTCAATATAAAATTAAGCACTTTTTATAATTTCAAGACTGAAAAATTTTTAACATTTGTGCATATTTTATGTATATGCAAATGAAACATCTGATTACACTATGTATTCAAATATGTCTTCATTTTTATTTAATGTTATATCAGTTTTAATATGAATATAACTTCTATCATTTAACACTTTACCTGAATATTGGACGTCATGTTATTTCCCTGTTTTTCTATCATAAATAACTTCTTATAATCATCTCCATAAAAATTATCCTCATCTTCATTTGGAAGTCATTCCTTGGGAGAAACATCTAGATATAATCAAATACTTTTAAGACTCAGTATATAATTGACAATTGCCTATTCAAAAGTATTTTACTAAACTATGCTCCTGCCAGCGTATAGCAAATCTATTTTACTGAACTCTTGCTAAACCTGTGTATGATCTGTTCTCATACTTATTAATTTGATAGGAGAAAAATGTCATTTTTATTTTGAATTATATTTCTTAGTGAGTTGCACTTCTTATATATTCACTTCTCATTTTTATTTGCATTTGTGGGGATTGCCTTTAGATGTTCTTTGCTTATTTTTTTCACTAGAGTCTTAGTGTTTATTTGAACAATTTATACTTATGGATCATTGAATAAAGACATGTACTCTTTAAATATCATAAACTTTCAATTTGATATTTATTAGCTATCTCTTATTAAAGTTAATTTCCTTTCACTTTGTAATAATTTTAATTGCTCTGAATATTATAAAATTTAAATACCACTTTGGAAAAGATGAGACTTCATCATCCATAGGTCTAATTTTACTAAAACAGAAGACATATTCCCTAAAATTTAATCTAAGAATGTTTTCTGATTTTGAAGAGTTTCAATTTGTTTATGGGACATTTTATTCTATTTAATCCATACCATCCACCCCCCCAAAAAAAGTCATGCGGACATTCTTTCAAACGCTGTACAGTAGAAACAAACAAAAGAGAATATTGGAAAATGATTTTTGTTTCCTTCACTAGTCCTTTTTTTATAGTAGCAAACAAGAAAAATTAAAAAATTTAGAAAAGTTAATTGGCACAAGAACTCATTACTACCTTTTGAGGGCCTCTGGCACTTTATGGAATATAATACATTGAAGGAAAATGAAATAAATGATTTTAATTCCAAGCAGAGGAAATCTAAAGGAAGAATCCATGGAAAGATTTTATAGTGTATAATTCTTTTATTTGAGACAGAGTCTCATTATGTCACCCTCAGTAGAGTGCTGTGATGTCACAGCTCACAGCAACCTCAAACTCTGGGGATTAAGTGATTGTCTTGCATCAGACACCCAAGTAACTGGTACTACACACGTCCACCAGAATGCCTGGCTATTTTATTGTTGTAGTTGTTATTGTTGTTTGACAGGCCGAGGCTGGGATTGAACCTGCCAGCCCAGTGTATGTGGCCAGCACCCTAGCCACTGAGCTACAGGAGCTGAGGCTATTGTATAATTCTTGAGAACATCAAGTCCCAAAGAAAAGGCTAGATCAAGTCTGGTGGAATAACTTATAAATATAAACCATGGCTTTTATGAAAACATTAAGTCATAAATGGACTTCTGTAA